CCTGGAAAAGGATGAGACTACATGGCCATGCTATGTCCCATGTATGGATCAGGTAAAAATAGTGATGGAATTGATGGAGGTGGCTGATTGTAGTTTGGTGAAACAGCCATTCTATCTTCTATCATAAACCGATTCATAAAACATAAAAGTCATCACAGCATTGCGTAGTAATGGATTTGGTACCAAAGCATCCGGTGAGACATCTTTTTTATTACATTTGGGACATTTATGATCTTCTGACTCCAACAGTAAAGTACGAATACATTCATCGCAAAAAGAATTTCGACAACATGGAATTATCGCTGCATCAGTTAATAAACCTCTGCAAATAGTACAGAGTAAGTTTTCTGGTATTTCTGATTTTTTTACTCCAAGGTCTTCAGATAATGGAGAACGTTTTTTTTTACTGTCCGTGTAGGCTTGATGGTCGATTACTGGAACTGCATATTGACCTGTTGAAGTCATCAAAGCACCAGGAACTGATGGCCCTTCAACTGGTACCATGAAACTTCGAGGAATACCAGTGCTTTTCTTGATCTTACTACGCTTCGGATGTGAGTTAAGAGGACAATTTTTAATCCAATGTCCTCGCCGATGACATTTATAACAAGTGTAATTAGATGGAGGAGCTCCAAATTGATTAGCACCACGGATTTTCATGTAATTAGATGGATTATAATCTTGAGTTGATTGAGCCATCATTGCCCGAATTTTATCTTCTTCAGAACCATTTAATCGTGTCAAATCCGCTGCATAAATCAAATTAGACACTCTTTTTGGATTGCTCGATAATTGCGATTCTACTTTATCCCAAGATTTTTTTTGCTTGCCTATTATTGGAACTCTAATTACAATTAAACTCGTGTTTTTTGCAATCAATTCATTATCATCTACATAATATTCTTTAGTCTGAGCATTGCTAATTTGAAGATCAAATGTTACATTTTTCCCCAGACATTTTTGATGAAGAATTGCTTTCTTTAGGTCAGCAACAGATATATATAATCCATCAAACGTGACAGTATCATAGTCCAGGGCAGATTTGAACTTGTAATAAACAGACATCTTTGATCCAATATCCACGAAAACCTAACAAGGAAATAATGGAAATTTAATTCAACTGAAAAATTTATACAAAAAAATATTTATTATTATTGTTTTTGATTTATAAACGCGTTAAAACAATTTAGAAATTAAAAGACTCTTTAATTTAATAGGGGGAAAAGATTAATATTGTGAATACTTTTTCGAATTTAATTACTGATGAATAAATCCATTATCTCACAAAATTTGGTAAATTTATTAGGGTTTTTTCACGAAAGGGTGAATAATAAAAAGAGTAATATACAGTGCAAAAAAATTGGCAAAATTATTAAGTGATAGAAAAAAAAAAATTAAAATGAGGTATTTTAAGTATTATAATCTAATTATGCATAAACAATTTATAAAACAAATGAGTATGAATGAATCCATAATTTATAGGAATTTAAAATTTATGAAGGAATACAAAAATTCGCGAAATACCAACATCAGTAAGAATAAGTTAAAATATTAATAAAAAATAAATTGCGTATAAAAATTAATGTAAATACATAAAGATTAAAATATAATTGGAGTACTTCCTCGTTGATGACACTGTGGCAAGGAAATTTAATTTAACCGTAAAATTATTGTTATTGATTTATAGACGCGTTAAAACGATTTAGAAATTAAAATACTTTTTTATTTAATAGGAGCAAAAAATTAGTTTTGTGAATATTTTTCGAATTTAATTAATGATAAATTAATTTATTATCTGATAACAATTGATGAGGGTTTTTTTTTCGCGAAAGAATGAATAATGGTTGAAATAATTATAGTGTAAAGAAATGAAGCCGAATTGATAAGTTATAAGGAAAAATAACAATGAGGTATTATAAGTACAAAAATCTAATGATGTAAAAACAATTAATAAAACAAATGTACTTGTAAAAAAATGAGCACGTACGAATCTATAATTCATAAGAATTAAAAATTTAGGTGCAAACGCAAAATACTGACATCGGTAGAAATGAGTTAAAATGTAAATAAAAAAATAATTGTGTATAAAAAATGGGGAGACTACGGTTTCCGTGGCGCCGCGATTTTTTTTTGCCTCGCAAAATTGTTGTAACTTGGTACAATGTACTTGCAGGGTGATTCTTTTGCAGTAAACGGTGCGGCCGAAGGCCGCCACCAGAGAAAACCCTCTAATTCTGTAGTCCAAAATTATGCCCATGTATAAGCCCATATAAACCCAAAATTTAAAGTATCAATATCTCGAAAACTAAGTGAGATATGAAAAAATTTTATTCTTCATTTTCGTCTTATTTTGGACTGTTCTATCGAAATTCATTATCATTTCGTGGCGCCACGGAAACCGTAGTCGTGCCTAAAAAATGACATAAATAAAGATTAAAATATGATTAGAGTACTTACTCGTTAATGATATTGTGGTGGAAACGATGAAATTGATAATCCAATTCTTTAACAGCTCCTAGCAAATTCACTTAATAATGGATATCACTTGTAACAATGTTTATATTCCTTCACAATCCTGATTATGGTGAGTAAATACTTCACAATAAATCACGAAGAAACCACTTTTTGTGTATACATTCAACTGACACTTTGCTAGACACTTAGAGAGATTTTTGCAACAACCACTTGCTACTGCCGTCGGCCGGAGAATGAAGAAGATTCTGTGGACAGGCTTCATTTGGGTTGACGAATGCGCAGTAGCGAAAATCATGGTGGGACGGACTGAGAGTCAGAGGTGGAAGGCCAATGAGCTTGAAGCTTCAGGTTCCCCACCACTTAGTTCCTCCTTCTTCCACCATTTTGGAAGATTTGTATGTTATTTTATTTTATTTAAATTTAGCATATTTGTAAAATATTTGAGAAAAAGTATTTAAAATACTTCCAAATTAAATAATTGACTATTTGTATTTAAATACAACATTTCTTTAATTTTATGTGATTTTGCGAATACTTTTGATAATATTTTTTGATTTAAAAGTGATGTACATATAATTCAACTCAACAGAATATGTAATCATAAAAAACTAATTATGTATAAATTATTGAGAAAGTTTTTACGATAATTATCACAATGCAAATATTTATTTAAATACAAAAAATAAATAATTTCATTTAAAAGTATTTAAAATACAAATACTTTAAGAGTATTAATTAAAATAAAGTGTTTTAAATAATTTTTCTCAAATACTTTACACGTATGAAATTTATAATTAAAAAAAGGGATAGATATTTAAGGTAAAAATGTACGTATAAAAACCATGAATAAAATTCAATAAAATTATAAATCTTACTGGAAACTTTTGAAGAAGGATTAAAACAGGAAAATCATTGCAAAATTTTCACATGCATATTGAGGTAGGGGAAAATGGGGTAAAGTAAAACACCAAGAAAAATGTAAATTAACAAATTAATTATTATATTAACAAATGTTAATAATTTTTAATGCATCAATAAATTGAAAAATTTATAAACTAAAAGTTAAATAGGTATTTTGAAACTCATTTTACTGCACTGATAGAAGTATTTCTTTGTATCTAACATAATTTATTAGCAGCTAATAAATATGTTATTTGAAAAAGAAATCGAATGAACATTTGTTTACAGTTGAGAATTTATTTATTAGAGTAGATTTATTTGGCTCGATGAATGATTTCTTAGCTGCTAACAAATATTTATTTCTCATCTAAATACTATGATTGGGCTCGATGGTAAGGTAGAATGACGGTAAAGCATAATCAAATGTTAGGTTATGTTATGAAATAACTTTTATTTATTGAAAATTTTTAAATAAAAAATAACGGTTTCGTAATGATTAAAATTAATATTTTCTTTTAAACAATAGCTCGACGAGCAATTACATTATAACCATTTAATTTCGTGTGAATTTTTGATGGTTTTATAAATATAATGACATCAAACAGCCCTTTGCAAAGAAGATTTATTACCTACAAATAAATCTTTGTATGTATCAAATAAATGTTGTAAAATAATTTTAATGAATTCATTTAGTCCCACCAAATATATTCTTCTATCAGTGTGAATTAATACATTTACACGAGTGTTTCACTTTGCCCTTTTTTTCTTTTCTATAAAATTATCAAAGTCTTTGATTATTTTAGACTTTATTTACTGAGTTATTTATTTATTTGGCTATTACTTTATTTATTTACTCATTCACTTTATTTATTTACTCACTGATCTATTTATTTACTTGTTACTTTATTCATTTCCTTACTTATTTATTTACTTATTATTTCATTTATTTACTTATTTAAAATTTAGAATATGTCACAATTCAATTTATCCATCTTTATTGCAATGAAAATGAATTTAGTCAATTTTATAATACCGTTTATATGATTCCATAAATTTTAATTTCCTGGATTTTCCCATCCTAATTGTCATTTAAAAGTGTCTGAGAATAAGGACTGGTATTGTGTTAGTTGTCTATTCTATTTTGAAAGTGTTCGGATCACAGACAGATAAATCACCAGTAATAAGGTCTACCAAATAAAATCTTATACCTCTCATTGTTACTTGCATGAGTAATCGCTCCGGAAATGATACCTGAAGAGCCACTTGGGCTCGGAAATGTCACGTAACCGGCCTCTAAGTTAAGTACATTGTCTCTCTAAATTTCTGACTCTATTATTATCATCTATATTGCACTTTAGAAAGTTCGACAAGCAGTTGTAGTTGTAACAATCTAAAGTTTGCATACCTGGGCTAAAAAATATAAAAGAAAGTAAAATTTGACTAATCCTATTAATTAATAGGATTAGTTAAATTTTACTTTCTTCAACATATGTTAATAATGAATTTCATGTATTTTAGGATAAGAAAATTCCAAAGCAAGTTATTTTGGGCCAGTTTCAATAGAAGCTTCTTTTAAACAATAATAAAAATAATAATAATAATTGAATAATAATTCTAGAATTATTGTTTAATTGGGATAATATGGAACTAACATCCAGTTTGTTATAAACACAAAAACAACTGATTAAGGTAAACTTTTTGCTGCTCATTTTATGGAGTCAAAGAATTCATTAAAAACTATTGATATATATTTTTTTTCAAAGAAAATATGGTGTGCTTAATTGTGGAGAGAAAGAAGTATTGGAAGAATTAGAACAGCATTAGAGTCTGGCAAGATAGAGTCAGGCAGGACTAAAGTCCCTTAAGTTCATATAGGACTTTAGGCAGGAATTGAGCAAAATGGCGCTGTCTTACCAGACTTGGTCTAGAGAGACTTTAAGGAGCATCTGATAAATACACCACCTAAAGTACTTTCAGGTAATGTCAGGAATGATAAAATTAAAGATTTAAAAGACAAATAATAAACAATCCACTAAAATGATTAAAAATTGAAATTATTTTAGGGAATTTTACTCATTTTTAGCAACATATCGGAGAAGCTCTGTCTGAAATTCCTTCAACTCCATCAAAAAGCAAAAAGGTGATAGGGACTCCAAAAAAAAATCCATCTAAACGCAGTCAATTAAGTTATTAATTTGGAAATATTTTGGAGAGAATTAAATGATAAATATTAATATCGTACAGAAAACAATAATATCAAAAACAATTTATTAAATTAATTTATTGAGGCAGCATCCATGTCGCGTTTAAAAGGTATTTAAATTGTTGTAGATGGCGTCACTGAAATACTAGTATAACCTACGCAACATTGACATATGTGATGATCGATGCTCACTAAAGTTTGTTTATACAATAAAATCGTGTAATTGTTATTATTCATATCTTTTGTTGGATTTATAAATTAAAAAAACAATTAATTATAATCATGGGTTGTGATGGAGGTACGATTCCCCGTCGAGATGAATTGGTGCGTCTTAAAAAAAAGCCAGAACAGGTAAGGTTAATCAACTTTATTATCAAATACTAAAAGCAATAATTAATTTACTACGTCTTATTGTTTCTTTTATTTATTTAACAAATTAATTTTCTTACATTTATAGAAAGATAAAAATGCAGAGTTAGCTTTCAAATGGAAACATTGTACAATAAAACAATTACCATTGCAATCTCCAATTGTGAGTTGCAGTCTTGGTAAATTATACAGCAAAGAAGCTGTCATTGAAGGATTGTTGGATCGATCAATTCTTCCAGAATCAGCAGTTCATATAAAAACATTAAAAGACGTCAAAAGTTTGAACTTAACCCCAAATCCAGCTTACGATGATGCTAAAATAGAGAAAGGTGATGATTACAGTCATAATAAAAGTCCTTATATTTGTCCTGTCATAGGATTAGAAATGAATGGAAAGTATAAATTCTGTTTCCTTTGGACTTGTGGATGTGTCATGAGTGAACGAGCACTTAAGCAAGTTAAAACAACAGTAAGTACCATCATATAACACAATTACTGCATCAACTTTCTACATAAACTCCAATAAAAACTATTCTTTCATTTATTCGTAGGTTTGTCATCAATGTCAGACTCCCTTCGAATCATCAGATGTCGTCATAATGAATGCTGAAGGTGATGATTTGAATCTCATGATTGAAAACATGCAAACAAGAAAAACAAAAAATAAAAGCAACAAAAAATCTAGCAAGAAACGTGCTAATGCTGACAGTCAACAAGTTGAAGAGGAAAAAGATCAGCTTGATGATGTCATGAAAGCAAATAAAACTCTAAATGATTCGAAACCTAGTTCAAAAAAAATTAAAACTGAAGGAGTGATGAATGATAGTACTAGTTGTTCAAGTATTGGAAGTACTTCAAAAAATATTGAACCTCAGGATCCAGCGTTTAAGAAAATCAAAGATAATTATAGTGTTGCTAAAGATCCAAATGCTTCAGAAGTATTGAAAAGTATTTTTACCAGTCATAAATCTGCTAAAGAACAAACAAAAGCTCATTGGGTTACATATAATCCATTTTACAATTGATAAAAATATTGTATATATTAATAATATAAAATGTCTAATGGTAATTGTTTTCTACGTATTTATTTATTAAAAATTAACAATTGTAATTTAATATTTGATGTAAAATTAATTTTTAACATAGATACAGTAGGGTCTATGTATTTTCATCTCTATCTACTTGTAATTAATTCAGTTTAGACATACTAAAATTATTTGTCTTATTCATTTAATTATTCTAATGAAAATTTTCTAGTTGAAAATACATGGATCCTACTGCACAATAATAATAATAAAAATAAAATGATGACAATTTAAATGTTTATATCTGAAATATTACTTATCAAAGGATGGCGACTGATTTTATTAAACAACACATAAAGATATAAAATAAATGAAAACTCCGAATTTTTTATTATCGGTAATATATGTGAAAAGATAGGATTAAAAGTGAGAAAGTATTGGCAGTTGATATCCCCATGTGTAAGTGACAATAAGTGTTAATATTAATTTTCATATCAGTAACAAAAAATAATTAGTGTTAAAACATATTAATAACAACAAGTAAAAGTGAATATATTTAATAAAAAATATAAAGCTTTTATGTAGTAGAAAAAAAAGTTTATTTTGGTAATTGTCTAAGAGATCATTCCAGCTTTAGCAGGATAAAAGATAATGGAAATATCTTAGACATCAATATTGTATTGATATCGTCTTAATTTTAACTGTAAAATCTACATTAGTTAAGGCACTCGATGGACTGTTATTGCTTGAATAGCCCGTCGAAGTTTACCGATTACTCGTTTTCTTCTTAATGGACGTTTTACTGCACATATAATACATCGTTTAGCTAAGTAAAGCAGTAGTATACTACCGACAACTATTGCAATCAATTTATAACTCCAATGATTGATATGAATCCATTGATTGTGACTTAAATCATCAAGAATATATTGTTGATTGTCGGTGGATATTTCAAATTTATTATTCATCGGTAGTGTGTTGTATGATCCACCAATAACACCACCACGTCTTCGAAGCCATGTAGAATCAGACTCTGGTTGCAATGGTACCATTTCCACAACTCCAAATTGTTCATCAACTGACATTAACTTTTGAGCTTTATATAAATTTCTGAAAATAAATCATTCATTTACAATTTTTAGTCCACAACTTCAATTAAATTATAAACAATAAATATTAATTACATTGGAATTGACTCGTTGAGTGGTTGAGAAATGGCATAATTAAGTACTGGACAAGTTGGAAGTGACTGAATAGCTTTATTATCGATATTATCATTCTTCAACACTTTACTGTGTCTATACAAATGATTCCCTTCCATCCTTTCCGGTAATATGCCAATTTCGAGTTTCTCTGATATTATTTCTGATTTATGGCCTAGATGATGAAGGTTGTCATCCATAAATATCGAAGGAATGTGACCTGTTGCCGTGTATTCAAGAATTGCATCTAACATCCAAAAACATGATGCTGAAAAAGATAATTAAATTTAGAAAAAAAAGAAACTTACTTGATTTATAACTGAATAAATAAATTATTAATTAATTCTTACGTTTCCTATGATTACTATCATCAATACAATTCGAATCACCATAGACAACTAATTTTCCTCCGGATTTTTTATTATTATTATTAGAATTGATTTGATCTTGATTAAAATTTGGATTCTTTTGATTATTTTTATCAATAACATTATCACTTATCTGATCTTGTTTTTCTGATAACAATGTTAAATGTTCATTTGTATCATTACCAGGCTCATTGGCTACTTTAAGTTTCCCTCGAGTATTTTCAACTTGATATAATCCAAGTATTGGAACTAAAGAAGTTGATTCCAAAGTTCTGCCAATCAATAAATCTTCACCTTGATCTTTCAATTTAACAGACAGAACCATTCCATTGGTAGGAAATCTAGCAATTGTTGTCCCAGATGCGAAATTAATTGGTGAATGTTGGCCTAAATGAAACTGTCCATCTCTAACAGAGTCTCCAAATGCGATACCCCAATTATTGAAGAGTAGATCATTTAAAGCTGGAATATTAGCACCACCGGTATCAGGAATCCACCATTGTCGAGTATTTTCATCATAAAACTTCACTTTCTGCATAACAGTGACGTTGTACCAATCAGCAAATATTATAACAGATAAACCTTCTTCTTCAACATCTTTTTTAAGCTTTTCTATTTCTTCTGGAAAAAATTCCTCTTCTGAGTCGACAATTAGAAGAGTTCCATAGAGTTTAGCATCAAAACAAGTGAAAGGGAGGCCTAAGACTTCTAAATAATATCCAGAATTCCGTAGATGTTGATACATTGCTTTAAAATTAGTATGAATATGATCACCATTCCAGTCTAATGGATCATTCTTAGCTCGTAAATCATCGCGAGGAAAATATCCTGGTGGATATCGTAAATTATGAAATTGGTCCCAAAGTAATCTCTTATGTCTAGGTGGTGTTGGTATGATTTTTATTTTCAACGGCAGATTGACTGTGGCTTCTCTAGGTTCTAATTCACCATCACCAGGAGGAGATTGAACAGTTAGAGTGATATGACCATAAGCAATACCTTGAAAGTCAATAGCAGAATTAGGTACTGTTAAAGATACAGCAACGTATCCAGACCATGGCCATAAAACATCACTATAAGTCAATGAGACATCTATCTTATCACCATTCCCTTGATTTAAATAAGGATGCCAAGTTATATTCGACACATGTCCTGATACTCCTAAGCCATTGATGATCGTAACATTGATAACTACTGGCATAGCAGAATGATAAAGAGCTTGAGTACAGTAAGGCCACATGTATTGGCATTCAGTGAAGTCAATATAACTTGGACTTAATGTCACAGTTGGGGTATATGATTTTAAATAATAAAAAGCTCTTAGGAGATCTAATTTTCCAGCACCTTGTTCAAACATTCCAATACCTGGGAGACGTTCAGCTGAATTTAGCAATGCTTGTTTCATACTAGCTGGTGTTATTTGATTTTTTTTATTGTTATTAATAAAACCACTTGATAATAGTGCTACAGCACCAGCAACCACAGGGCTAGCTACTGAAGTACCTGAAAGTGTTCTACATCCATATTCCAAAGAACTTGCACGAACTTCTGATCCATAAGTAACTAAATCAGGCTTAACTCGTCCATATCCAGCTGGTAACTCCCACGTTGTCATACCACGAGATGAAAAACTTGCTATTTTATCAGCCCAGTTAATTCCACCAACGCCAATCACATCCATTTGATCAGCAGGATTGTTATGAGTACCATATAAAGGTCCATCATTGCCTATTGCACTCACCATAATGACTCCGTTAGCTGTAAGCTCCCAGACTTTATCAACAAATGGATGATCCATGAAATCTGGACCACCAATGCTAAGATTTAATACAGTAATCTTTGATAGTATAGCATAATTAAAAGCATCAAGAAACCAGGATGTATATGACACTTGTTCGTTAGTAAATACTCGAAATATATGTAATTCTGCATCAGGAGCAAGACCTAAACATTCACTAAATGTTGATGCTATGACTCCTGCTACAAATGTACCATGTCCTAGAGTATCAGCAAGAGTTTTTTCATTAGTCCAGTTTGTTCTTTCTTTGATGTTCTTTAAATGTGGATGTTGAGATGCTAAACCAGTGTCAAACACTGCCACCTTGACATTCTGACCAGTCAAACCCATCCTCCATAGTGTATCAACTTGTAAAACTGATGTTATTTTTTTGGGAATAGCTCTCAATAATTTTCTTGTATTATGACGACTATTTGATGATGATGCTTCATTATTTTTTAAAGCATTTATTTTACGTTTAAAATTTTTATATTCTGGCAATTCATCAGTATCTTCTTCTATTTTATCACTTTTACTTATATTTATATAGTTTAAACTTCTATGAACTAATCTTTGTGGTGTGACTCGTTTAACTAGAGGATGATCAGTAATAGCATCAAGACCATTTGATTTATCAGTTTCTTCTAAAACTACAACATCAAAATCACTTGGAAAATCACTAGCAGGATTATCACGGGATAAAACTCGCCATTTGTTAACTCCTGATGAATTAAGAGCAGCACCAATGTAATTTAATCGAGTCTGAAGTTTATAATAACCTTTAAATACAACAATGTATTCATTTTTAACTATTCTTGATGTGAATTGTATCTTCACTGATGATGTATTTTCAGTTGTATTGGTAAACTTTTTTAGAATATTGTCTGACAATAATATATCATCATCTCCAAATCCATTTTTTATGATTATTAAAATTAACAAGGTTATTTGATGTAAAATCATCATCCAAATGTTTTCTGTTCATAATATTTATTTATTCATTACCTAAAAACAAATAAATAAAATAATTATCCTTATAATAAAAGTAATTGAAATTAATTTCTTACATTGAGGTTAATGTAGCAGATGTTGGCAGTAATAAATAAATTATCGTTATTCACTTGATTAAATAATATATGAAAAATTTAATAATTTGCTAGAAATATTTGTAAATCTTTATAAATAATAATATATTTTTTTGATAATTTATTAAATTAATAGTGACGGTGTTTCTTGTGAACATGGTAAAATTATAACCTTCAAAAATATTTAAGAGTTACTAAATAACATTTGTTTTCAATACTTTAATAAAATAAATTAGTGTAATTTATAGGTTAACAGATAGAAATTACTTTAAATATGTGAATTAATTGTCCATTTATTTTTAAATTATTTAAATATTTTTTGGGTTTTGAGTATAAAGTGTGTTGTTATTATTTACACACTGCGCAGGCGATACTGCTGCATTCTGTTGGTGATCAATTCCATCATGTTCAAGTGTTCTCCTTCTGCGCGTGGTTCTCCACTGATGGTTTTTAGAACACATAAACATCCAAAGCGCCTGTGCTATTCAACGTATACTTACAATGTAAAAAAATAGCTTTAATTATAATCAGAAGTGAATGTGTTGAACCGTGTTGTGTTACTCTAAAACCGTAGTCTAAGCATTTTCGTACTCCAAAAAAATAAAACGTGAGTAAAAATAATCATTGCTATTAATAAAATATAATTGATAATATTTAAGCTATCAACTTTATAAAATAACCTAATCTGTATGTGTAAATAAGTGATAACAGCATACTTCATCATCAGAAATTTGCGCGGGTAGAATGTTGATTGATAAATAAAGACAAGTTGGCACGTAATTTCATGATTATTTGGTGTTTAATCTTTTTTATTTACAAAGTAATTCTTTTTTTAGGATTAAAATGAAGTTTAAAGAAGGAGAAATAGTTCTGGCAAAGCATCCAGAATCGGATGACTTCCAGAAAGGAAAGGTTATAACCGCAAGAGGTGATAGATATCGAATTATGTTTGAAGGGGGTGAGGAGTATACATTGTATGGAGATTCAATTCAGGTAATTATAAAAAAAAATACTTCATCATCATTATGTCAAGTATTTTTTTTAATTTTTCATGTATTTTATTTTTTATTATATAACCTATGTCGGAACAAAATATAAATTGGAGGGAAAAGTGACATCTTTTAAAATATTATATTAAGAATAATTTAAATTTTGTCTGATTGTGTTGAATGTTTTCCTGATGAATAAATAATCATTGCTTTTAGCCGGAAAGACCATCACGGAGTACAGGAAGAGCCAAAGGCAGACCTCGGAAGAGTCCTTCAAGGAAATCTCCAAGTCGAAAGTCACCGAGCAGAAGATCACCAAGTAGACGATCTCCTGGACGATCTTCAAATACTCGAGTGACAAAGTTACCGTCTAAAACACGCTCAGATGATGAAAAAAGTAAGTAAAAAATATTTATTTCAATTTGAAAAAAGACTTATTCTTCTACATTTATCTAAAACTCTAACCCTTTACGGGAATAGAGTGATCAAGTATATAATTACTGAATATTTTATCAAGAAAGTAATTTATCAATGATTTATTCAAGGTTTTAAAACCGATTCCCAAAGCACGATGAGTGAAACTGACGAAATTGGAGACTTGGTTTCCATCTCATCACGAAGTAAAGAGGGTCCAGTAGCTAGAAGAAGATCCGTACGTATTCGAGAAAATTTGATGAAGACTGAAGGAGTATTTTCCACACGGTCTATAGATCGTGCGGCTTCACTTCCTGTTGAACGCAAGTCTATCATGTATGAATATTTATTGGAGACCAAGGAAAGAGGATTTTCTGTTCAACGTGAACCTGTAAGTTAATTATTGAGTTAGTCCATAAAAACTTTATCATATTTATTTAATAAATTATGTATTTACCATTATTATCTATCACTAACTGCCATCTGTTTGGTAATACATATAAGCCTTGCTTGTAAAACTCAATTTCCCCATTTTCAAGTATTTTTATACTTGACTTTAAACAACACGCATGAACTTAAAGACTAACCCGATACTTGCATGCCAGTTTTAAATTTATTATTAATCAATTTATTTTATATCTAGGAAGTTCAAAAATTACATTACGAAGAAGACGTGCTCCCTGATTCATCAACTCATGATAAAGCGAAGAAGGAAATAGAAATAATCAGCCAACCACAAGAGTGGGGAGGTTGGTTTGGAACATTGTGCCTTATATTTATTCTACCAGTTGCCGTAATTTTACCACAAGTTGCCTGTTTTAATAACAAATGTCTCCTAAGTGGATACCACATGCCTCAGAAGTGGCAATCGTACCTTAATATTTATGCAATACTTGTATACCTTGGATTATTATTATCAGTGTCTATCCTATCTGTCGTACCGATTGGGGCAAAAGTTGATGGACAACAAAGCAAAGTTGGCAGACTTCAATATCGAATTAATGGTTTATTAATTGCAATCATTATTATGGTGGCAATAGGAGTTGGAGAATACCATGGATACAAAGTTTTTGATTACATTCTAAGGTCAACTTTCAAGTTCACTATTGGTGGATGGATTATTGGAACAATTTTAGCGATTGGATTGTACATCAGAGGAGGAAAAATTCCTGTATCAAATACAAACATTTATGCATCCACTGGTAATTTTATCTACGATTTTTGGCAAGGAAGAGTGGTCAATCCGAGAATTGGAAAATTAGATATCAAGATGGTCTTGATTCGAACCAGCATCATTGCAACAGTAAGTTCCAATGAATAATCATCAAGGATTCTTTTTATTAAAAGTTTTCTTTCATTTTGAATACCTAATTTAATTAATGGTTTCTCTCTATTTTTATTAGATAATAATCAATACAGCAATCATCGCAAAATCTCTGCAAGGAATTACATTGGAGACATTGCAACATTCAAATAAAACAATAATCATAGCTTCTGGAATGCAAATATTATATTGTCTTGATGCATTAATTTATGAAATAACTTCATTGACATCGTTTAGAATAATGTACGAAGGAACTGGATATATGACCTGTGTTGGAAATTTATTATACCCATTTTTAATTACCTTGGGACCTAGATATTTACTCATGCAAAAGATGTGAGTATTCAATAATTAAATTATTCATTTATTTTAAAGAACCCATTTTACCATTATTTTATTCATTACAGAAATCAACCAAATGTACTACACTTTGTAGGCTTCACTTTCTTAGTAGGATATTTGATTTATCGTCTTAGCAACCTGCAGAAAGACAAATTCAGGACGAATCCTTACCTGAAAGATGTATCTCGTAAGTACACTATATTTTAAATACATTTTTAACGTCTTATTAAAAAGTTATTATGATGTAGTCCTTTTTTTAATTCATAATTTTGACATATCTCTGTGCTTTAATCAATTTAAAAGCATGTTATAAGGTTTAAAAATGAATGTACGTACGTACATTTGTACGTACGGATGTCAGATTATTTTTCGTTTTTGATATCTCGAGAACCACTGAAGATATTGATTTCGGACAAATTTCATTCGAAAGATAATGCAATCAAGAAGATTTTAAAGACGTTTAAACAATCCTATAAAGTTTATAACAATTAGAATTTGTTATAAATAATTGAAAAGAGTTAAAACTTTTTTTTTTTGATTTTATTGGAATTATTAAAAATAAACTCCAATGGGAGATACGTTGTGTGGACGCAAAATACATTCAGAGCTATTTCGTGGAAGATTTTGGAGACAGTTTGATCAACTAATTATTTTGCTTTCAGATCTAGATACCATTCTAACGAATAAAGGAAAGAAAATTATCGTCTCTGGATTGTGGGGATTTGTAAGACGTCCGAATTATTTCGGTGATCTCATAATTAACTGGAGTATGGCATGTACAGCTTCAAATGGTGGTATTCTACCTTATTATCCGGCAATATGTTGTACACTAGTGTTGATACATCGTGCAGTTCGTGATGATGCTCGGTGTAAAGCACGATATGGAGCTGCTTGGGAACAATATTGTTCGCGTGTGAAATCGTTGATTTTAAAGGGAGTATTTTAAATAAATATTAGAATGAACAATTGAATTTTAACAAATTTTTTACAAAATAGAAATTAAAAAAAAAAAAAAAACAAAGTAATAATAATTTAGTAATCAAAATTGTTTATTTATCGATAAATTTTAAATGCCATTGAGCATTAAATGGAGGATTAACATTTTATTGTAAATTATGTGAATTAAAATCAATCGAAAGATTGATCGGAGTGAATTTAAAAATGACAATTATACAAAATCGCCATGATGAACAATTTAAGATTAAAATATTTGTGTAATAAATAATAATAGAATTGAGACAAAATAGATTTTTATTAATCTTAGAGATAAAATATTCTTGAATGGATGATATTGACACTTGTGTGCACTTAAAATGCAATGCAATGCTATTTACATGACAATTACCTGAATTTTATAAGTGTAATATCACATTATAATTGTTTAAGTATTGAAGAATAAGTACAGATTTAAAAATATCTCATTAAATTTAAGAATATTAAATTAATTAGTACATTTTATACCTTTGTATAGCATAATATCTACAAAGAATTAATGTAATATTGAAATAAAAATGTAAGTTTTTGGTACTTAAGCTTTATTATTTATATTTTTTTGCTAATTCAAATATTTTTGTTTTAAGATCCAGGTTTCTTAATGCAAACATAAAAATATTCACTAGAAAAAGACTCAATTTATTGAGATAATAAATAGATGATTACAATGGAATTTCACTATTGAAGATTGCCTGAAGTTTCCTAATCAATTAATCACCAATCATCGTCATGAGGAGGTGGTGGTGGTGGTGGTGGAGGACTGTAATTAAATAACATCACTTTAATTAAACAGATAAATAATACAAAATTTATTCTACTCACTCTGGACTACGCCAAGTTGCTCTATCTATCACCACCGTTTCTGCACTATCTCTGCAATGATAAGAAATTAATTTATTCAATCATCATTCAATGATTTTTTGACTGACGATATATCCTTACTGTCTAGATGTTGTGAAGATCATCATCTTCCCAGAAGTATCTCTATAAGAAGTGGCTAAAACATGTGCTATTGGTGTGCTTACTGTAATTACCCATATACACAATACAATTATGAACCAGAACCCATCCTAGAAAATTTATTTCTCCATTAAAATTAACATAGATTGATATAGAAATAATTTCTTACCAATGGTCCTAGGATGTTGTAGCAAAAAAGTGTTTTAAAACCAACCATAACATCCCATAATGGACATTTAGCAACCCCTAGTGTCATTTCTGTTAAAACATGAGTTCTCCATTGATCTAGGTAGCTATTGAGTCTCTCAACATACTGCTTAGTTTTCTGCAACAGAAAGAAAAATAGCATAAAAGCCATTTATTTTTTATACATGAACCTATGCTTGATTATATCTGATCCTTTTTTTCCCGAGTTTTTTATTTATTCCTTGATTCCATCATTCCCTGGAACTGATACCAGTTTACCTACCAGCTGTGAAATAATTTCCCCCTGTAGATCTATGTAGTACTGAATTTTCTTCAGCTGACTAATAGTATCGTTGACTTTGCGTTGGTAAGGACGTAATTGGATTTCCAAAGTTATTAGTTGATCAACCAACGAGTCTTGGATCATCATCAGAGGCTTCACCCTATCTTCCATAAGATTTCGCATTGACAAACCAATTGTTTCGAATTCCCTTGATGTCCTGCGGTCATTTAACTGCCTTGCTATATTGTAGATCTGGTCTGATAGAGCTTTCAAATCTCTATCAACTATTGGTCCACGTATCTACAACAGAAACAATCAATGTAAATTATAGTTATTGAAGCTGAGAAAAAATTTTGTAAACCCACTTTTGATCGATAGTCCGTAAGATTTATACCAGAAGCATACTGGACATTATCCAGCTTCCCTTCCAAGCTTGGAGTAAGAATTTTCAAACTACGTAGATCAACTTTCAATGAAGAGAATGCTTTAGTCAGGTCTGACCATTTCCAGTAATCTGTCATCTCACCCAACTCCAGAGGTTTGCTAGTAGGCTGATTGAGGTAAACTGTTTCATTCTGTCTGCACTTCCTTGAAACATAGATCATCAAGAAATTTTTATAAGAAAATAGAAACATTTGGATTTCTTTTGATCTACATGAAAGATAGCAAAAAGATTTGAGCTTTTTTTTACTCTAGTAAATCCTTTAGAGGACGGTTTAACGGTTTTCCTAGGAATGCTTTGGTCTCCAGCAGGACTTCGATCATTTTATAATTTGGATCTTCAAGTGGTCGACATGTCATCACTTCTGTATGAGATGAGATAACAACTGCGGTGATGAAAATCATCCAAAGCATTATTGTGGCTAGACAATTGACAACAACTCCACTGGAATATGAAATAAAAGTTTAGCTAGGATGTTTTGGATTTTTATTTCAGATTATTTACCAGAGCAAGCCAGATCGTAATTTCTTTTCGGATTGGCATTTCAATGACAAAGCAATCAGAGTCAATAACCAGATGAATAATATCCCGCAAATTGTACCTGCAGTGGAGGAAAGATTTTATAGTGGAGTTATAGTTTTAGAGATTGATCAAAGAGGACTGATGAGGTGAATAAAATAGTACATTTTTAATTACCAATTCCTACATGCCATCGTATCTCATCAAAATCGAATATATAGGGAATGACTTTGTTGATTTTCCTTTCAATTGACTTTAGTCGTTTGGAAAATTGAGAATTACTGGACTCTAAGTTTCTTGTTTCACTGTATAATCGATTTCTAGATTCTCCTAGTTCTCGTCGAATTTCTACAAAAATAATTTATTTAGTAAATTAATTTTATTACTAGTTTTTTTTAAAGACCGGAAAAATTGGAGTTTGAAAAATAGTTCATTTCAGCCCTAGGGAGGAAAAGTAGACTATCGTTAAACCACGTGTTTACCATTCTCGCTTTCGGTTCGGGTTGTAATTTTATCCATGATTTATAATAGTCTACTTTTCCTCCCTAGGGCTGAATATGATTTTTGTCATACCCGTGTGGAAAGTTCAACCCCTCTCTAATGGAAAAGTGAACTTTCCACGCGGGCATGACGAAAAGTCACTTTTTCGATTTATATATATCGATTATTGACTAACTTCATATGTCCATATAAATTCATAGATAAGATTGGTGAACATAACATAAAAACTCTAAACATACTGATAAATTTCTACGACATGTTTACCAGAATTTTTCGGTATTTAACTCGAAAGAAAATAAGTGGAAAAATTACGAGAAAATAACCAAGTTTTTATCATAATTTTTCCGAGAAAATACGGAATTATATCGTTTAAAAAATTGCCCAATTAAACTGTATTTATACAGTAAAAATCGGTTACCGATAATTTACCGTATTTTTACTGGAAATATTCAGTTTTTCAAATCCATGAGGAATTTATACAAATCTCCAAGTCAAGTAGATTTAATGGAAAGAAATAAAACTGGACAAAAAACTAGATCTAGAAACAAAGCCTTGAAAAAAAAGTAAACTAAATAAATCGCTACATGAGGCTGATGCTCTAGTGGGAGGCAAGATGAGCACTGGTCCATCACTAGACATTGAAGACATTCATTCAATGATGGACTAGTAATGTCCAAGGCTTGCTTCACCCTAGAGGATCCAAGCTTAAATTCAAGAACATTAAATAAATTGCTATATGATATTAATTACGATTGCGAGCATCTAGAGTGTAACGTGCAACATGATGAGGAATATATAGATATTCTCCTCGTGCTTGACGTGCAGCTTCAGTCAAATTATCTCGATTAACACTTCGTAATCTTAATAAACGTTCATCTCGTGACAACTGGAAAATATTAAATAAACAAGTGCATTAGAAAGCAATAGATGAACTTAAGTTGTTATTTAGGAAGAATCAGCTTCACCTGAGTGATTTTAAAATTGAGGATAAATCCAGAAGTGTTAATTGTGGCACATAGAGATCTATCTTGTGGTGAAATGCAACCCTTTCTGGTACCTTCCAGATCACGTCTGATGCTTTCAATCTCGTGATTCAATTCAGCACTTAAATCTCGAGCTTCTTCAGCATTTTTTATCAGCATATCAGCATTCATTGAGATTTCTTGACTCGCTAAATACAAACAAAACCTTGGAATTCAATTTAAAAAGGATAAAATTTTTATTGGATACTTTTGGATTAAAACTAGAACATGTGAGAGTAAAAATAAACGGTGATTGTTCTCAAAGAATGCTGTTACCATCAGCTACTTCTAATAATTGGCTCAGTGCACTTTCTAGACCAGTTTCTCGATTTAAATCCGATTGGATTGGTTTCCCCAACAACTCGTCGATGTCTATTGTAGAACAAGAACATCTGATTACTTATACACTCAGAATTTCTATTTAAACAATGAAATAAACATTTAAGCTTTTCATCATTTCATTACGCACTGTCTAGATCCACCATTATGGCCTCGTTGGCAACATTTAGACTTCGAGTTAGACATTTTCTCAATTGTATTGTGGTATCTGTGTAGTAATCACTTAGATCCTCCATCGCAGTCTCAAATGTCAGGGAAATTTTATCAACTCCATCACTTATTGATTCATTGCAGTAGATTAATCCAGAAGCTCCAACCCTTTAGAAAGTTATTATTCATTTTTTTGTTGAGAAATATATAGTGGAGTGTGTTAATGTGTTTACCCTAGGAGAACAATTGCACAGGAGAGTAAGAAAATGAGGAACCCTGGATATTTGGGTGGTTTGTAGTCATCTCTGATGGGTCGACATGCTAGCCAACATTCAATACCAGGAACCACACATGCCAGAAGTAAACAAATGCTGATCAAAGCCAGTAAGCCTCCTTCGATATAAAGATACTAGAAAATATAATTTGTAAATAATTTAGCATTAATTAAAATAATTTTTTTATCAAAGAAAAATAATAAAAAACAGCTTCCAGAAAGGTAGAAATTTATCTGATTTAAAAAAATTCGTATTACCGTTAAAAATCATCGGATCAACTTCAACCAGGGCTTTTTTTAAAGTTTATTCTTTCTAAAATCTAGACAAAATCACAGAGAAGTTGAAAAAAATTTTCTATACCAGCATATTAATTTTTATTTGATTCAAAGAACTTTGATTTGAGTTAGAGTGACTCCAAACTCTTTTCCAATTTTTTTAACTGCAACTCGTGGTGATAAAAATTTTTTAAAGGAGTGTAAAATAATCTAGAGAAAATGAGCTTCAAAACGAGTCCTAATTCAAGCAGATCTGATGATTATTGCCAAAAATATGAGCTTTCAAAGATTTATTTAACTTTGATGATTTCTAGCTTTGCTATTTGGTGTTGATGATTATCAAAGAACTCACCTCAGAGATCAATTTTGATGGAGTCATGCGATTCTCCATCACATCTTTGATGAGACCTAAAAATATAACCAACTCCCATTACAAAAATCCACCCACTGATGATTGGATTCTGTCATCTAGGATAACTTACTGTGAGGTATATCATAAGGCATGATGACTCTATTAAAATCACGTAGAAAATCAAATGGAATAGTTTCATTTCTCAAAGGTAAATCCATTATCTTGAAGTGTACACTGTTATCGATTTTCGGAAACTCTAAAATAGATTTCGTAACTTCCCATTTTTGTGGCATCGTTAGAGGATTAGATTCAGTTGAATTGTCTTTTAATTCAGAAGCCTCTGAGGTTGCAATGTTCAATGTCGAATTTCTATCATCATCTCCAATAACTTTATCATTTTTGTCAATCAAACTTACGTATATTATGCTATCATTGGAGTAATTATTGCTAATATTATCACTGCTGGAGTTGAAGTAATTTTTTTCCAACTCAGAATCATGATAGATAGCCACAGTCATTGGTAAGAAGCACAAAATCACTGCAAGGTTCATCCAACAACTGATTGACAAGCTTTGATTAATTTTTTTCATCATCAATTATTACTCTAGCAGAGTATCCAACTATGGCTAATTCCTCTCAGGGTAATAATTAATAATAATAAAGTTGATAATGATTTAATTAATCACACCTTTAGTAAACATGATGAGTAATTGATGGAGCAAACTTTTAAATAATTTGTGTCAAGAATTAAGAATACAAAATGAACATCAATAAAAAAAACCTGTTGTTCTTTTGTCGGAATGCAATCGAAGACTGGTGAGTGAAATGATGCCATTCTTAGGGTCTGCAGAGGTTTCCGGAAGCCAGGTAAAGGTAGAAATAGAAGTAGGTTGATCAATAGAAGATAAACTCGTTTAGGATTATATGGAACCAATTTTCTTGTCAATTAAAGAAGGAATATTTTTTGAATTTTATTACCTTGTTAACCAAAGAATTATCCTTTATATAATCAGATAATCTGCATTTATGAAAATGTTTTGGAAAAATTATTTATAATAAAAATGAGTTCGTTAAAACAATCTACAAATTTAGAAGTTATTTTTTAGTGTTTTTTTTTAAATGTTCTGCCCATAAGGGGATGATTAAATAATGTTTTTTTTTTTTAAGAAGTCTACATAAAAATAAAGATAATCAGCTTTAAAATAAGCTTTGGGTGGACTGAATTTGATTATTTTTATAAAAAATACAGTTTAGAAGATATGATAATATTTAGAATAATTCACTGTAAATATGAAGTATGTTAAAATAACACACCTGAAAGGTGTTTAATCTTAAATTTTCATTGAAAAACTATCTCTAGAAAAATTTGGAAAACGGTTAAAAATAGCCAAAAAAAAACGTACATAAAATCTATACTACTATATAAATTTCTGGTGTCTGTCTGTCTGTCTGTCTGTTCGCGCTAATTTCCGAAACGGGTTATCCGATTGCAACCAAATTTTGCACACATGTAAAGGGTGTTGTCAGAAAGGTTATAGGGTACTTTTTGTTCATATAAATTGTTTATAACAATTGAATTTGTTATCAACAATTGAAAACGGGTTCTACGCAACATATTTGAGTTCTTCCAATGCGTAATTTTTTCTTCCACTGGAATTAAGTTAAAAACTGTGGAATATGAATAGAAACCTACTCTTTTTGTTTATAACAATTAGATATACAGTAGAACCCGTTCAATACGATCACGCTTAATACGATTTCTCGCATAATACGCCATTTTGCATAAGTCCCTGCAACTTGAGACATGTTTTCATACATCCCACATAATACGCTTTCCCGCTTAAGACGCGTTTTTGGTTGAGTCCCTGTGAAATCGTCTTAAACGGGTTTTACTGTATTATAAACAATAGAGAACTGGATCTATTTGATAAATTTGAGTTCTTTAAATGTAATTATACGCATTATGCGGACAAAGTTGCGGGTATCTGCTAGTTATTAATGAATTCCCGGGAAAAAATTTTATTATATGATCGTATATGAGAAATTGGCCTTATGTGGTTCATATACAAAACATATATGGTTTTATATTGGCCGTATATGATACGTGTATACATGTAAATGTATAGGTACATATTATGATTATTATTAATTATTATTAGCAGACAAAAGCTATACATAAATATCAATTCAATTGTAACAAACAAAAGGAGTATGCGTTCAATTCATGTAACACGGTTGGTAACAATTTTTCAGCAAAAGAAAAAATAACGCGTTGGAAGAACTCAAATATGTTGCATAGAACCCGTTTTCAATTGTTTATAATAAATTTAATTGTTTTAAACAATTTACATGAATAAAAAGTAGCCTATAACCTTTCTGACAACGCCCTCTACATGTGTGTAAAATTTGATCGCAATCGGATAAGCTGTTTCGGAGATTAGCGCGGACAGACAGACAGACACCAGAAATTTATATAGTAATATAGACTAGAAAATATTACAGAACTTCTAGAATTTTGTGTTTGACATATGTATATACTTATGTGAATATATTTTTAGCAGTCAACATAATGTCTGAATAACCGAGCACGTTAAGGCACGAGTTTAAATGGTGTACACACGGGGGGTCGTAGGTTCGAGTCCTACCACTGGAAAAAAAAAACCTTCAAGTAGAAATATCACTTACTTCATTGATATTTAAGTCCTTTAAAGCAATAAAATAATGGCAATAATAATGAAAACAATGATGAAAATTATTATTTTTATTCTTATTATACACGCAGAGAAATGTATAGTAAAAATTACCCTAAATTTTATGGTAATTTGGTGACATTAAAGGGTGACGGTAAAAATTACTGTGCACATTGTTGAATTCACTAAACTGCACAGTAATTTTTACAATGTGTATAGTAATTTTTACCGTCACCCTGCTGTGTCACCAAATTACCATAAAATTTAGGGTAATTTTTACTATACATTTCTCTGCGTGTAATTATTAATAAATCTATCCAATTGTATATAATTATGTAGAGTTCTATCTAATCTTATATCTTGCTTAAAATAGATACAGCTTGAATTTTAAGTAATAAAAATATTCTACGCCATTACATATTCATAGCTGAATATTTTTAGCTGCTTGAAGAATATTAAACAGGTTTTATTGTTTGAACAATGATATAAAAATGATGGTGGTATGGTAATATAAGATCGTGGTCTTTTTTATTGACGTATCAGATTCTCAGCAATCATCATGTAAGTATTACCAAATACAACAAATATTTTTATAATTTACCTAATAATTTTTTTTTTTTGTTACAGGAAATCTATTTCTTTTGCTGTTATATGTCTCTGCATCGCTTATGCAAGTGCAGAAGATCTTCAACAAATATTAATTCGTGAAAAGTTCAATGAAATCCAACGACTAAAATTTCCACAAGATCCAGAATGTGGAATGATTACTGGCTACAGGTATTACAATACTCCGGAGGAGTTTGACAGATTAGAATTGCTTTGGATGATGTCTGTATCAAGGAAGAATAACTCTAAACATCTTTGTGATGGTGTTCTGATCTATCCAGATGTCTTGATGACTACTGCTCATTGTGTAGAGAAGTAAGTAAGAAGTATATCTAAAGTGTATTAAATTATTCAATAAATAATTAATCATTTTTGTTCCAGTGAAGTGAATGAAGACCTGATAGTTGCAAGTAAATCAAGGATTTATTCACCTTACGATACGTACCGTGGCAACGAAGAGCGGACAGTTTCCGAAATTCATATAAATCCAACATACAGAGCTTGCTCTTGTCGTAATAATTTAGCTATTTTGATTCTTTCTAGACCTTTTAAACTTGATGATAACGTCAAAGTAGTCTGTCTACCGTCTTTGAATGATTCCTATTATACCGGCTACTGTATCAAGAAATTGATGGAAGATCACGTACCACCTGAACACGAACGGGACCATGGTGGAGATCGAGTCTTCATGGCTTCAAATTCTTCACACTCTACAGCAGAAGCATCTGGTGAAGAAGGAAATGGAACTGATGTTTTTATAAAGGTAAGAATTTTTTTCAATTAATTTACTTATCATTTTTTAACAATCTATTTTTAATTCACTTGCAGCGAACTCAATTATATGCATTGTCATGTGGGTTATCAAATATTCCAAAGAAGTTTTATTACTTAGGATTAATGGTCCGTGTTGAAATATGTGGACCAAACTCTGTTCGGCACCAATTCTATGATACCATTTATAAATTTTTGCCATGGATGAATAGAGTCTTAAAAAGTCGTTTTATATATCACGAACTGAATGAGAATTTTAGTTCGGTTTGATTAGCTTCATTTGATTGTATGGATGATTTAATAAAGACTTGGTTTTATATTTGAAAATTTAAATGAGCTATAGTCTAGTCATGGTGCAATTGAATTAGCAAATTCGGTAATTATTTAGTTCAACTGTCACACTCTCAATTTCACGGGGATCGACATATATTGTCTAAAATACTTTTATTTACACCTTTAACCCTAGACTAGTCACATAATGAAATATTGTACTACTGGTCACCTAGATAGGGATTCGCCGCAATGTTATTTTTGCAGCGACGTTGCCACATAATTGAGAATAAATTCTATTGGCTTATGAGAAGAGTAGGGGAAACTCAATCATTGGCAACGTTGCACGCAACAAGCTGGTCGCAGTCCTCGTTTTAACATGGTTACGGATTGACAATACATTTATAAATTATTTTTTTAATAATAGCTACTACCCCCAATAAATTTTTTAAATACGCCAGTTTTTTCTAAAATGTTGTAAGAAAAAAGTCAAATTTTTTCAAAGCATTTGAAGAGATAGTTTGTCTTTAAAAAATAAAATAAAATAGGTTGCGGGGATTCCCTCATAGGGTGACCAGTCTAGGGTTAAGAAAGTCACTATGAGTGCAGGCACGAAAAGTAAGAAATACGACACAAGTGTGAGATAGCTTAATGATCCATGGGTCAGCCATAAAAGCTGTATACAATTATGAAAAAATTGAGATCCATGCGATATTTTTTACTAGTTTGATAGATTTTTGGTTTCAGAATCCGAATTCGTTGGTATTTTTTTCATAGAGTGGCCAGTTTTTTTAGTTATAAACAATTTAATTGTTTAAATGCATTCTTTGGCTGAGCTTTTACAGATAGAAAGAAATAGTTCGAACAAAAAATTTTCCTTGTTCTAAAAAGAATAACTTTTATATCAACCATTTTTACCATTTCTGTGGTATAGCATCCTAGCGCGTAACTAGGAGGATCCGGGTTCGACTCCCGGTCCCGCCAAGGTGTCTTTTTTCTGAAAAAGTAGGCTTGTACAAGTTGTGGTGAACTGCAACGTGGGGGAAGGGAGTGTGCAGGCTAAAATAAATAATTACCGAAAATTCATTCCGTTACAATGATGCTATGCTATACTGAGATAACAGTTGTAATGTCATTTTGTTATTTTTATGGAACATTGCAATGACATTACAAACATGTCACTATTTTTCATATCACATGTTACGTTTCGTTACTTCTATGGTACATCACAGCAACATTGAGTGTTTACTGGAACATTATTAATTAAAAAATGTTATCAAGATTCTTGTATTTTTAATAAAGTGTTCATCAATGGTAATCTTTTTCGATATTTTTATAAAACATTCTGTAGACTCCAGTATATCTTCAGGCGATTTAGCTTGATATTCTTTGATCCAAAAAAGAATTCGACAATACTAAAAAAATTATTATCAATGTGAAAAAATTGTATAAATCTAATCAGAGTATCATTTAGGGACATTTCTTAAGTACAAGGTATTATTTGAGGACATTTGTATAGTTTAGGGATAGTTCCCGAAAAAAATCATGTATTCAACGTATTATTTGAGCCACTGGTCTACCCGAGTCAAAATATAACACCTATCCTTTCTCAAGGTTTAACTTAAGATGAACAAATCCTAATTAAAGTCGGAATGCGTAACAAATCAGCGTTTCCATAGGACGAAAATTTGTCAATTTTATCCTAAACTCATACTAATTTTATCCCATTTTCATCCTAATTCTATTTTTCTTTTACCTTAGCTTCATCTTACTTTTATTTCATACTTTTCCTGGTTTCAATCTAATTTTATTTGAGATTCGACGAATTTTATTTTAATAAAAACATTATTATTCATAATTATTTATTTTATTTCAATTCTAATTGGGCTGTCCATCAGCATTAACATCATATGTATTGTTAAAAAAAGTATGACTGCAATGGGAGTTATTATAATATTGACCATGTTCATATTTGAAAGAGCAGTTTCATTTAATTCATTATTAGGTTGTAACAAATTATTTAAAACAATTCAATTTTTAATAAACATAATTTTTGGAAAATTAATCCATTATATGAATCGTAACCTTATTCCAACTATTTCCATAAGTACTTCTAGATATAAGCAGATCAATTAATGAGGTTGAAATCAGGCTATTCTGTCTATATCCTATTTTTTACGTACTTCAGAAGGACTAGAATAGTATCAGGGTTAGAAGGTTAAAATTAGGCTTCATCATCCTAATTTTTATTTACTCAAAAAATGAAACAGAATAATATCAGGATAAAAAGGTTGAATCTAGGATAGAATGGAAGGGAATAGTATGAAAAGAATAAATTTAGGTGTTATATTTTAACTCGGGTATACAAGGTATGTATAAAGTATTATTTGAGGACACAAGGTTTCTACATTGTGATGAATTTATTTTTGTTTTTTGAAAAAAAAGGTGAAAATGAGGACATAAGTATACTGTAATTCCATTCGCTGTGCTTGCAGGGTTATTTTTTTTTCTTTAACCGGGAATTCTGAAAATCGAGAAGGGGATACGAGTCCCCTGTCCCCAAATAATACATTAGATGGATTTATATATCTTAATGATGCTTTATACATTGAATTAGATAATCATTTTAAATGTGATAACAAGGAAAATAGGTAAAGTTATTACAATTTTTATCAATTTGTTATCATCCAGATCTTCTTTAGCATTACCAACATCTAGAATAAAATAAAAATAAACGAACCAAAATATAACGGACGTGATTCTTTGGTAGGTTGACTCGTTAGTAGGCTTCTTATCCGTTTTTCTCGTTTTCATGTGAATACTATGGTCCTATTGTTGATTCCAAGTCTATACATCGTGTATGTACACTCAGAAGAGTTGTCAGAAGAGCTATTTACTTCCCTATCTTTTGTAATGTGTCGCTGGCGAGCATTCGAGACGTGTCCAGACTGCGGAATCAGTCGATTTCTTCTGATTTCAGAAAAATCTCTGCTCCGGACGCTTCCTTTTTCATCTATTGATGTTGCCAAAATAAATATGGCGGCTGGAGGTCCATGTGGAATTTTCGATTCTCCGAATCCATTTTCAATAAAAATGGTAAAGAGATGGCAAATGATTTTAGACAAATCAAGAACAAAGCTTTAATTGAAAGCTCTGATTTAATCATCAACCAGACAATAAGTAATTGATGGGAGCTTTTTTATGAAACCATTGAAGGGAATCAATGATCAATAAACAAAATATCCTTGAGTGTAAAAAATAATGAGGAAAGAGGCTTGTAATGAGTCAGTAGATACATTGATATCTTTTGTTGCGAGCTTTTGCTTAAAGTCTTAGATCTATTCGCGACTTTAATCCGATTTAAATGAAACCTTCACTCAGGTGTAAGTTCGTGATAATGGATATTGCTATTCGAAGTATCTCTCGCGTTAAATGATGTCATTGGGTGGGAAAATGAGACGTGGAAAAAATAAATAGATTTAAAAGTTGATCAATTTCTAGAGCTCACTTGAATGCTGTGACTTTACTCTCTAAGAAGAAATTAGTAACTATTTAGTAATTCCAGGTGAATATTTACTATTTGTAGCATTGCTCAGTGACGCGATGGGAAATAGTAAAATTTCACTGGTTGAACCAGTAAAATAATACTTTACTAGTTGAATTAGTCTATTAATAACAATCGAACGAGTAAATTTGACTAATTGGAGTAGTGAATAAGAAGATATATCTATACATTCATATATGCACCAATACATGGACATAATCCGATGATTAGAGATTTCATTCATTCATTCTTATTTATTTCATTTAAAAATATCCATAATTATTCATCAAATGACAATACAACTTATCTCATCTTTAAAATATCTATCGAATAGGAATATTATTTATCTTAAAAAAAAGTCACTCACAACCTAAGGATTATTCTGGTGATTTCATATTCATCATATTTACATGCAGAGACGACACACAACTTTTTGTCTTGATGTTCATCTTGAAAATATATTTATCAATGAATCCATAGAAATAATTTAATTTCTCTGGGTAAACTATACATACTCGAGACTGCACATTGATAAATAATCATAAAACATCGAAATGCGTGACATCATCAGCCACAACCCTGGAATGAATTTTCAAGATTTTTCCAGACTTAATTAGTAAATGGGCCCGAAATAACTAATTTCCCTGTAAAATTATAACTAACTGGATAAACCAGTAAAAATGATTACTAATTCAATTTTAGAGAATGAGGTAATCTTTTATTTATGTTAAAATATTTTTGTTCATCAAAAAAAAAATGTGAAGTTTATTAATTTGTTTTTTTCTAGTGAATTAAACGGATTGGGTTTGGTATAAACAAATATATTCTATCAGACAAAATGATGTTTGCAGCTGTTAATGAGTAACAAGACAATTTAACCATGATATTACGACGATTCTAAGATAGTTTAGTAAACTTTGTATAGAAATGCGCTCTCTTGCGGATTCTTGGTGGAAAACGTATACGTGAAATGATGTACGGATGGATGAAGGGAAGATCGAAAGCGTTTTAGAAGACCTGAGAAGCCTCAACGAATACCTCTTAGAGGCTTAGAGATTACACTTTGGGCTTGAGAACGATACGAAGGGAGAGAAATGAGCGAGGTAGAGAAGGAGAAAAGGGCTATGATGGTGCAAGCGGTTTCCGCATCTCTCCAAACCGCACATTCCCACGAAGACTTTGACTCAAACTTATAATACCAACTAGGCTCGATGCAGTTTGGGTAGACCTCATTCGATTCCATTAAAACATGTTTTACACAAACATGTATCGACCTTAGGCCTAATCTTTTTGATGAAGTAACGAAGAAAAAAAATATAAAATCATTTTTACAGAAACTGGCTTTTAAAAGCATGTCTGACTCTGCAGCAGCGCCGTAGGTGTCTGTTTCCGCATTTACATATGGATCTTACGACAGGATATTATTGCAAGATCCAACTCGAAATCTTGCAGCAGA